AGTGTTCAATTATCTAAAAAAGACAGGAAATATGGAAAGAATATATATTGTAGTAGTGGGAAGTGTTTTTTAAAAAAAATATAATGTCCTTCTCTCTACCACTCCACACTTCAGATCAGTAGGTGGCGGTAATGCACCTTTAAGTTGATTTGCCAAAACCGCCCATAAACACCAGAAGAAGAAGAAGAAGAAGAAGAAGTGTTATACGTAATCATACTCTTAAAAGTTATAACCACAAATGCGTAAGTATTATAATGTCTTATAAATGTTATGGTTATTTATGAGATGATACAACATATTATTAAGCTTTTTTTATAATGCTTTATGCATTAATTATAATGCCTTAAGAAAACCCTTATAATGTATTATAAGTACAGGCTTCATAGAAAGTGTTATCGGATTGACAAACAATTGAGGAAAGAAGAGAGAACATTCAGTTGGTGGGTTTTGCTCTTATATACTTAAATTTGGAGTTTGGAGTTAGATGTCAGTAACATGATTATTCTGTTTGGTTCTCTCTCTCTCTACAACCCCAACAGTGCATAAGTGTTAAATCAGAAATATATATTACAGAGTTAAACATGTTAAAGCATGTTTAACATGTTTACCCCCCCCCCTCGCTCTTTTTTATCTCTCTCAAGAGTTGAAGCCTACCAACTGATGGAAAAGTTTTTTTTTATGATGTTGTATTATGTGTTATTGCAAAAATGAGTATATACAGTATATAAATATGCATTCTTGAATCATTCTTGTGTCTTGCCTTTCTACAAACTTTTAAATATCTGTCTATAATTTAGTGACTGCAAATGCTGATTTCATTTGATTCCATCTTTATTATACCTGATAATGAGCTAGTTAAACTTAAGGGGGCTAATCAATTTACAGTATATTTCAAGAAACTAAGACTTAAGGTACTCCACTTTTCAGTTGTTGTTTAAAGACTGAAATACATTTTTCATTTATATTTTAAGTGTAAATTCATTTAAATTTAAAATTGTTAACTCAAAGCAGGTATTACACACTTTGTAATTAACATCTGATGCATTTATAAATCAAAAATCACAATTGAAATAAAAAACATGTTCCTGAGATTCAATATCTTTAACAACTATGTGCAAACATTACTACAAACTAAACCACCAGGGTCCCAGAAATGCCGTCCTGAAACTGCAGCCTCCGCTATATTATCCAATTCGGTGGGTGGCGACGGCGAGGCGGCTGTGTCGGATTGTGCAGTCCAGCGCAGTTGCTCTCCACCGACTGCGCTGATCAAAAGCATGATGGGAAATGACTGACTGACAACACAGCTTAATGCTCATTGGTTCAGACAACTGTGATCCTGCGTTCTCTTCTAAAATATTTTATTTTTATCTGATTTCATATGATTATGTATTTAAATTATGCATGAATGTTCCCAAACACTATGACAGTGCGATCTCTGAGATAATGTGATTGTTGTCATATTTCTATAAAAATCTAAAATACATGTTTGTATTAAAGTAAAAATGGATGATAAATACACCTTTCGTATGGAATTAAATAGCAAGCACTTTAAGTGTCTTGTTCATCATATTAATTTTCATATAAAAGCAACAGAACTGAAATTATATCATGTTTATTAGCAACACAGCATGTAAGTGAGAATAACGCGATATCTGTCTTTGATCTCGTTGGTATCTGTTCCCTTCGAGAGGGCAGAACTGTCCGTCTTGACTGCGCTTATTTCACTCCTCCCCTCACTGCAGCCGCCTACTCTCGCCTTCATTTCAGGCAAGGCAAGGTGCATCTCAAACAAGCCTAATCTGAAATGTGGGAATCCAGAAACAGTAAAGCACATTCTTCTAGAATGTGATGCGTATGAAAGAAAAAGAAATCAACTTAATCATAAATTAGGTTTGATGGGATATGATAAAGTATCACTAAAGATATTACTAGGGAATAGACGAATGCAATCAAGAATTAAAGAAGAAGTGTTCAATTATCTAAAAAAGACAGGAAATATGGAAAGAATATATATTGTAGTAGTGGGAAGTGTTTTTTAAAAAAAATATAATGTCCTTCTCTCTACCACTCCACACTTCAGATCAGTAGGTGGCGGTAATGCACCTTTAAGTTGATTTGCCAAAACCGCCCATAAACATCAGAAGAAGAAGAAGAAGAAGAAGAAGAAGAAGAAGAAGCCTAATCTGACTTGACTCCAATGGACCGAGAAGGAGAAAGAGGAAATTATCAAAAAAAACATTTGTCAAAATCCATAGTTCGGATAATGTTAACGAAGAAGGGAGGAAAGGACGAGAGGGAACAGTTTTAAGATATAGAGAATTAATTATGGAAGATGAAGAGGTAGATGATATACTTAATTTGCCATTAACAATAGGAGAATTAAATAGTGCATTAAGAAGTACTAGGTTATCAGCGCCGGGTAAAGATCAGATATGTTATATAATGTTAAAAATTTTAAGTGAATCATCAAAAAGTATTCTTTTAGAGTTATATAATAAGGTATGGGAAAAGGGACAATTACCTAGGTGCTGGAAAGAAGCTGTAGTAGTTCCAATACGTAAAGCTGGGAAAGAAGGTAATAGTCCATGTGATTACAGGCCAATTTCTCTAACTTCGCACTTATGTAAGGTAATGGAAAAAATTATAAATCAGAGACTAACATATTTTATGGAAACTAAAAGGAATATTTGTAATTATCAAAGTGGATTTAGAAAAGGTAGATGTACTATGGACCCTACAGTATGTTTGGAACATGAAATACGAAGAGCTCAGGCTAATAGAGAAAGTGTAGTGGCAGTATTTTTTGACATCGAGAAAGCGTATGATATGATGTGGAAAGGAGGGTTAATAATTAAATTGAGAAAAGCAGGAGTTAAAGGAAAAATGATAAGATGGATTAAAGGTTTTCTATTTGGAAGATCTATTCGAGTAAAGATTGGGAAAGAATTTTCAGGGTAATCTCAAGGCTTAGATTTGGCCATACTGCTCTTAATAGCAGTTTGAAGAGAATGGGGAGACATGAAACTGGAAAATGTGAATATTGTAATATGGAGGGAAATGTAGAGCATGTTATAATGAAGTGTCCAATATACGGAAAGGAAAGAAAGATACTGATTGATGTCCTCAAGGAAAATAAAGAAAAACTTGAACATTTGGGGGAATAAATCAGGGGATAAAAACTTTCAATTTTTAATGCGTTATTTAAAGGACACTGGATTATATAATAGAATTTAGTGAAGAGTACGATCCTGATCCACACTCCTAATCAGTAGGTCGCGGTAATGCACCTAAAAGTTGTATGCCATCCGCCACTAAACACCAAGAAGAAGAAGAAGAATGGACCAGATTTTTGCAGCAATCGCGGATCGTGGAGCCGCTCAAAAGTTCCCGGAAGTTAGCGCTCATACTATCAGCGCCGTAGAGATGCAGCAGACGAGACCGCTGTGAGGAACTTTTAAAAGGTAAGACATTTATAGAACAAGATAGTATATTATCAGCACAGCTAATCAAATTACCCTGTGCATTAAAACAGATTATTATTAGATTATTCCTCACTTAATTAGTAGATTTACGGGATGTTATTCATTCTCTTCATGCAGTTTCATCCATCGTTGTGTAATTAAGGCTTTTAAAAGTGATTTTGCTGGTGGGGAGTTATTTAATAGACTGGGATATATTGCAAAGGATGCAGATGGACCTAAGTTAAGTGAGAATGAAAAGTTTGAAATAGGTGAGCAGTTTTCATTTCAGAATCAGTATTCAGAAAGGTATTATATACCACTATATTATATTCACAGTAAATCTATATATTATTACTGTATTTTATACTTAAACGTCTTAGCTACTAAAGAAGTACTGTGTTGAAGGAACAGACTGAGCAGTGATGCCACAGGACTGCAATGTGATGGAGCATCACTTAATCATTTCTCTTGTTTTTTTCCTTTGCTATCTTGCTTTCAGAACAAGAACCACCTGAAAACTCCCTGTAAAGAGACATCAACCTCACAATGAGTCTCTTCATAAAAATGTTTTAAGTTGTTTTAAATTGGAATATACTACAAATATATTTTTATATATTAATAACTGAGGGGTGCACAAGAATCAAAAACATTAAACAAGATTAGTTTTCACTTAATAAAATATCTTCATTTATTTGGAATTAATTTTCTAAGACAACAAACTTAACATTTACCATGAGATTAGTAAAACGACA